TTGAAATCCTTAAAGGGAAAGGGTTTTTCTCATTATTTCAATGTGAGTTTTCTCCCATATACGTTTTTCATGCCTTTGATATTCATATGTTGATGGGTTAACCATGTGATCAAAATTTACTTCTAATCTGATAAATTAGGATGTTAAAACTTCTTGTGGTCTCAGATTTTCAATCATCACCTAGTGGAATGAGTAGGTTAATAAATGATAAAATGGTGGAATAGACATATTGTCATTAATCAAATACCTCAATGAATGTTATCCAATGAGGTTAATGATGAAAAGAGAAATGGTGGGTGATGCGCTTGAAGTATTAGAGGTATGTCTGAATTCTCATTTATTGTATAAGAAGTTGATAAAAACGATGGACAAAGATAAAATCAAATCAATACTTTTTGTGGCAATTAACTCCATAATATTATTTCCTTATATCTACCCAAGAATTAACTCCATAAATATTAATCTACTTATTTGCTTTTAACAATAGAATGTTATTGTTCCTTATACACTACTACTTCTATTTAAATTTGATGTGTACATTACAAATATAACATTTACAGGACACAAATATGAATTCCGAAGGAGATCTACCTTTGACTTTTGTAGTGAGTAACATGTGGAGACTATTAATGAGGAAAAGATGGAAGTGGGCGAACAGTATGCTGTAATTGATCAAGATGTGCTATGCTATATTTAAATGATTACAAATTTAGGGTTCTAAGCACCAATACCTATGCTATAAAATTTCTTAAAAGAAGTTTGATAAAGACATGTATATGATTGTAAGCAAAAACGTTGCAAATATATACTTCATGTTGATTTTTGACAATTCTACTTTTTTTGTTCTATTATATATATTCTAATTTCTTTCAAAAATCTAATAAGATTTATTGTTGATAATGTTAACATTGTCATAACTATTTTGAGGACTAAATAACTCTTACGACTCATGCAATGATAAGAAAATAATCATATTACTTAAATTTTAATTTAAACGTACAAATTACCAAAATGAATTGTGGATTTCATGGAAACACACTTACATGAGATTTCCCCCAAATAGATTTCTTGATTTTTGTGATCATAAATGATCCTTTTACTCCCTTTAATATTTTTTAAAACTAATGTTTCATGGTTATTTGTATATTATGTTAATTTTTATAATTTGTCAATATTGCATTTATGTCTTTTGTAATTTTGTAAATATTGGATTATAAATATTGGATTGTATCATTAAAATATAAAAAAAAAACATTTACTTACAACTTGAAGAAAGAGGAAGCAAAACAGCAAAGAAAAATAAAACTAGCATGTAAATGCCAAAAGATAAGCTCAAGTCCCAAAATGCCCTATGGCACCCCCTCCGAAGACTTCTAAATCAAGAGAATAATCCTGAAGCTCATAAGGGAGAAACTGGGATTGTGGTGGTCATAGCAGACAATAGAAAATTCTAAGTTTCAGGAGAATCTGAGATCGATAGAATCGCTGAAATACAGAGCAATCGGAAGAAGTCCGAAGCGCACTAGAGAACCCAACAACTAAATCAACCAAATTAGCCAAAAGATGAGTTTTGGACATGATTTCCATGCCTAAAAAACATATGGAAGCAAATAAAAATAGAGGTGCGAGGTCCCGAAGACCACCTCTAAGCAATGGTATGAAGCTTCCTCTAAATCATATTATGATGTATGAGATTACTGAACAAAGATGTGATTTTCTTCCTCAAAACTCTTAGGAGAGCAACGGATCTAAATTAGAAGTATAGATAATTCCATATGGTGGTTTTAATCAATTCAAATTTCTCAGATGAGAGATTTTGTTTCTAGCAAGATGGACAAGTGTACATTTTATCGAGCAACTTATTACAATCAACAACGGTCACTCCAGTGGGCTTTATAACAACACCTAAATAGTCCCAAGAAAGAGGAGTACTCTCAAATCAGCAAGCATTACAAAGAAATTCTTAGGTAGGAGCATCCACATAATTAGCAAAATATATATCAGATTTAGCATTATTAGCACTTAGATTGGATGTCATATGTAGGAGTTTTAAAACATATGAGAGTTAGTTAATGCTGGTGATGTTAGCCTTGCAAAAAACAAGGTCACAGCATAGATGTGATGGGAATTATTACTGTTTCTAGAACATGAGGAGGTAACCAAACTATGGCAAAGGCAATAGAAAGCATGCATAAAAATAACAAATAAATAAGGAGATAGAGGGCACCCTTAATGTAGCCCAGAAGAAGAAGGGAAATAGCCCTAAATTTCAGTATTAATATAAACAAAGAAGCAAATATCAGCAGTACTAGATTTCATCCATTGCATAAACAAATGGGGAAATCGAAGTCTCTCCATTTGCTATAAAGAAAAAACTAGTAAAATTGTCGAAGGTTTTCTTCAAATCTATCTTGGAGCAAGAAAGTTTCCTTAAACTTCTGGAATATAACCGAAAGAATATTTTATTGGCTAATATCACATTATTTGCAATGTCAAACCTTTTGATGAAAGCACCTTGAAAATGATGAATAAGAATAGGCATCAAACGTTTAAGTTGACTAGCTAAAAGTTTTGTAATAACTTTATAAATGACATTTCAAACTGAGATAGGCTTGCAATCTGAGAAATTATGTGACGGAGTTCTTATTAGGAATGAGAGTAATTAGAGAATGTTTGAGCCTTTGAGAAAGTCTTCTAGTGGCAAAAAAATATTTATAGCAGCAATACAGTAAAGGCCAGTGATATCCTAAATATCTACATAAAAAAAATGGATTTTAAGTTGAATAATATTAGTTTTGAGCCAATTATCTTCAAAGTGAACTCATTCATGTATCAGGTTGGAAGACATGAAGGAGAGAGCAGAGACAGCAAGCAAATAAAATAAAATAAAATAAAGGCATTTACATACATACCAACCAATTCCTACCTATATAACACAAACTTTACATTTTACATTTATACCACTCAAAATTTTAATATCAAGAAAAATTATCGCACTTTTAACTTTTAAAAGATGAAATACATCTTTTTCATGTGTAGATAAGATGGAATATATATAAAAATTAAAGTTTAGATGTTGGATATGTAAATGCATAGGAATTGAGTGGTATGCATGAAAATCAGGCACCGGCTTTTTTATAGTTGGATCATAGTAGGCTGATTTTGGCCCAATCAAATCAAACTTTAGTCCTAATTAAAAAGCATCTAACGACTACGGGCCTCATTTGAAAAATAAAATATTATTTTTAAAATAATTTAGAAATATTTAAGAAATTTAATATATAAAGTTGATATCTTACTACAATCCAACAAAATAAGCATCGATAAAGTGGGTAAATATTTACGTACGGAGAACGCACGCAGCTGTTCGTGCGTAATCCCCTACTAATAGCCTCTCAATAACCTCTGCAAAGTTTATTGGGGGATTATTGCGGAGTTATTTCGGTGTTATTTAAAGTCAATATACTAACACCAGAGAAAATGTGAAAATGTAACCGCGGAATTTGAAGGTATAACCACAGAGGATACTGACTCCAAATAATGCCAAAATAACTCTGTAATAACCCCTCAATAATCCTCGCGGAGGTTACTGAGCGGTTATTGGGAGAGGATTATGCATGGAAAGCTGCATATGTTCTCTGTACGTAAATAGCGCTCCATAAAACGTGCCAATAAATTATTCCAAACACTCAAAGAAATCATCTGCACTTCAACCTCAGAAATTTGCAATTACTTCACTCTATTTTTTGGGAAAATATTACATGCAATTTTCCTCCTGTCGTTATTCAAGAGGAAAACAGGGTTATTTTCCTAAAATTTTTTTTTACCTGGTGCCATTCTCATGAATAAACTCCCATGGGTGCTCTTCTTGGAATCCCCTTTCTTCTTTTGATTCTGTTCATCTTAATGGATGGAGTCTCATGTGCCGTTGGTGAGATGCAATCAAATGAAATATTGGAAAAAATAAACTTTGATTCCTCATTAATGGCGGCCTTTTTGGGGACTGAATGAGGCTTCAGAGGTTTTGATATTGAAGATGGTGATGATGTGGTCTTAAACAACTGCAAAACACAATTAAAGGCTTAGTTTATGCTTCAATAATTCAGCTTAATCATGCTATTATAAAAATAATTAAATCTGCATGATTCTTTCATTCCTATAAACCACATTGTTTATTTTGTTCTGTATTTTTTTTTTCTTTTTTGGATTATAAAAAGTTTCATTTATGGCATTTTTTCTTTATAAATGATATTATTTTGATATTATTTTATTGTAAATAAAAATAATATTCTTACCTTCCATCCTTCTTATCACTTGAATTCCCCTCCTCTTGAAGAAAGAAAAAAAAAACTTTTTATATAGAAGGAATAAAATAACTTTTTCACTATATTTCTTCTCAATTAGATAAATTAAGCAACAAATTATCTAACAAATTAATCATTCATTAAAAGGTTCTTGGAGTTAATAATTACAAGTTTTAAGCACTGAAATATTTATATTTTAAGTGTCATTATGGATAGAGTAACTTGCATTGCATGGTTGAATTTGATGGTTTTCATTCATTAATACTTCTAATTTTAATTATTTCTTTAATTCATCTAGAAGTCCTTTGGATTAACAAAAGTAAAACGAATATTTTCATCATCACTAATTACAAACTTCAAAATTTATTTGAGGGCATACATATATAGATATATATATATTTCAATTTGATTGTTCTTTAGTCATGGATCATAGTTATGAATAATATAACAGGAAATTTATATGCATATCTTAAAATTCTTAGGTATTTACATATCTAACTCCTAAAATTTCTTGTTTGCATTTATGACACTTTGGTGTCAGATGCATGAATTAGCTAATTCTGCTTTCAAAAATCAAGTAAATTTGATATTTTTTATGTGATGTAAAAAAATTTGAGTGATTTACATGCAAATATAAAAATTTTAAGTGTTAGATACGTTAAAAATTGTGTGGCATGTATGTAAATGCCTTTATATAAGTGTAGATAGAGTCCTGACATATATATATATATATATACATACATTTTTTAATTTCCTCCAAAGTATAAAACTTGAAATAAGAAAATAAAAGAAAATTTAAGAAAAAGATATTCTAACCACAAAACCAGGTTGTTGAACTGCTTCCATTAGAAGCGACCAAACCACCCGCAGATAAAATTTCTTGTATCATTGTCTTAATTATTATTTTCTTCAAAAAATGTAAGAAATTTCTAGCAAAAGGATGAAACAAGAGCAAAAATGTAAAAAAAAATAAAAAAAGCAGCCATTTTTAATTAATTCATTACCTTACAACCCAAGGAGCAGAAGCCGAATGCATAGAGCAGGCTTCTTCTGCAATTTCTGCAAGTATTTGTTGCCGCCGTTTTCCCCATCTTGGGCTGCAATCTCTCATTCAAAAACACGACCTTTGCTCCATTTATAACGTATGTCTGAATTCCAGAAATGTCAACTAAGCTCTGAATCTCTGCAACTCTGATCACATCATGATATGACGATCTCCTTATCTATTTCATTTCATATTGATTATATTGGCTGATTAGAGAGTTATAAAATGATTAGAAGAAATGGGAAAGACGGAGATAAGAACCTGAATGATTCTGTGATTGTAATGTTGGACGAGACAAGAGGAGCAGAGGGCGCCATTAGCGCAATCAATGCAGTACATATTGCATTCATTTCTGCTCAAGCCAGAGTGGAAGTCGCAAGGACTGAAGAAGGAGGTGTGGAGCAAGGGGCTCAGCCATGGAGGCCAAAGGAGCTTCCTTTTCTCTTTTTCTGACATTTTTGTTCTGAAGTTCGAGGAATGAGGGAGGAAATGGGGGGAGAGAGGGAAGATGAAGGGCTGGAACTTAGAAGAACAATGAGAATAATGCAGAGGTGAGGGGCATAAAGATTTATGATGAGGTATAATCATGTTGCCATTTAAATATGATTGATGAGATCTTGAGCGCATTTTATTTTTGTGATAAAAAGGACAGGGGAACTCTAATAAGGAATAATTTTATTTGTGACAGTTTATTTAACCCTCTCTGTTATGATTTCTCTTATGTTTAAAACGTTCTAATTTCTTAAGTAATTTTGATTTTACATGTCTTTCTCATTTATTGGAATGATCCAGCTCAGATTGTAGATATAAACAATCAATTAGCAGTTTGCATGAAGAGTAATAATTGTTTACATTTATATTAACCATACCTAATTATTATCCCTCCCATCAAGGTGCGCATTTTCTGTCCGGACACCTGACGTACCTCTACGTGCGGTGCAGGTTATTCCTGAATTATTTTCTGGTTATTTCTAGGTTATTTTCAATAATCTCGAAATAACCCATAAATAACCCAAAAATAAAGACCGTGGGTTATAACTTAAAGAATACCAAGATTATATATTTAGTTTAAAATATATTAATTTTATGCCTGAGTTCTCAGCATAAAAAGGAAAAAAATATATTTAGAATGTGCGATGCTACACATGCAAAAGCTCCCAAAAGTCTTAGGAAAATTATTGGAATAATGGAATGTAACTCTCGCCATTTTATAATTCAGCCGCCCCAATAATTCAACTGGTGTATTGAGCCTATGAGATAACTCTTCAAAGCAAGTAAATTAGCCAATCTGATAAATATTTCTCTCATTAAGATAAATTAGATTCAACATTAAGCACGTTAAATATTGAAGGATGAACAGCTATGTATGACTAATTAACTTGTCACAAATTTATTTACAAATGTCTATTTGTGCTGATTAACTTGTCACAAATTTATTTACAAATGTCTATTTTGGCCAAAAAATTTTGCGACATGATGTGCTGATTGATAGAACTCATTGTGATAAACTTTTGTCGCAAAAAAAAATGTGTAAATGAAATAATTGATAGACTGGGGCAATCATTTTTGACCAGTTTTGGCCATTTTTCAGTTTTTTTTTAATCAATAGGAACAATGATTAGGGGGACCCGGTACAATAACCCAAGTCAAGCCTGGCTCAAAAAAGTTACATTCAAATTGACATGATTAAATTTTGGGTTGGGACGTTTCGCCCGATTTAAGTTTTTGAAATTGAGGCGCCCACTTAAAATTGACCCACTAACGAACTTAAACTTGATTTGCTAAGACACAATTGACTCAAAGGACTAATATGTTGTGGAATATTCACCGCATATGATCCACATGTACCCTGCACAGGACCGCTACCTTAAAGGAAAGCAGCAATCCAAATCTCTCCAACTAAATATCCTCTTGTCCACAACAAACTCTGATTTTGCATTAGCACTATATATATTTATCAATTTTGGAATAGTGTGGGTGTTGATTCATCAATTATTTCTTAATAGATGAGTATTCCATGCACTTTCTATCTAGATTCTACTTATCTTTAATACTAGTAAATACTACTTCTAGTGTTTTGCAACTCGAATCTGTACTTCTTCCATCTCTTCTCTATCCAAAGTTAACACATATTCTCAACAATGGATACAGCCAGCTCGCAATCCAACACGAGCCAACTCAACCATTCACCTCTATTGGAGCATACCCTCATACCAACTCAATTAAGTTCCTAATATCTAAATTAAGAATATCATCAACATTCAACTTAACCTAAGAAATCATACTATCTGGTCTCTCAGGTGCTTAAAATCTTTCATAAAAATAAATTTGCAGTTTCTCTTGAGGGCATAACTTTATGCCCTCCAAAACTAATCATTTTAGAAGATGGATAAATCACACCAAACAATGACTACAACAAGTAGATGTTAATTAACCAGAATCTTGCAGCAGCCCTATACTCTATCATCTTTCCTTCTCTATTGTCATATGTTCTCACTCTCAACACTTGAAGACAATTTTGGACAATCATTGAAAGGAGGTTGCAATCAACCAACCAATCATGAGTGATTCAACTAAAAAGATGAGCTACACCACACATTCATTAATATCCAAATCATGACTCAATACCTCTTTACCATGAAATCAAAAATTGATGACATAGCTAATGCTCTAGTTTGCCAATTTCCATCTTGCCAAGCTTTCAAAAGAACTATTCACACAAACCTTCAACCAATAAGTCTAGATGGCCTATACTTTTCTTATATGCAATGAAGAGACCAACCGCTTAAGGTGAACTGCAAAAGATCTATAACACTTCTAAGATACTGAACAAAACTCAACTCTTCTAACAACTAAAGGTAGTGAAAGAGGTCTCTCATATTAATCTTCTCAAGGGCGTGCAAATACCTATGTCACCAAGTCATCTAGCTCAGGTTACCCAAGACATTAATTTAAGAGGTCTCGGCATCCTCTCATACACTGGTACATTTGTGCCAAATCAATTATCACTCAGCACAAAGTGTTAGTGCATACTTGACCTACCATATGATTACAATCCACTTGTTACACAAGATCTCACTAGCATCACATTGATCAATCATCAAACATAGTTTACTAATTACATATTAGATATTGGTGCATATTTATATCTCACCTCAAATGCTAACTAGATTCAAGTAGTTCAATCTTATCATGGTTCACAACATGTGTTGTTTGATGACGAGAACCCACTACCATTTCAACAAAAAAGAATCCACAATTCGATTAGTAAGCTTCTACTCTCCAAAATTCTCTATGTCCTAGATCTATACTATAACTTACTCTCCATTCACAATTTAACTCATGATAATGATTATTCTGTTATATTTAATGCAAATGGTACACCATCCTAGACCTAATGACCAACAAGCAAATACTTAAGGGATCCTTCCATAATGGGTTTTACCATGTCCATCTACCTTCTCAACCATGCTATCAACCTCCAAATTTGCTCTCTTATTGACCAGCCCATTCATGATCTTTCTCACCAATTTTTGGGACTTCTCATAGGCATTTCACTTAATAAACAGTCATCATTCACCTTTCTCAACTCCAACTTCTCATCACTACAAATTAATTAAACCTATTTATCTAATCTTTAGAGTTCATCTTATACTATTTCAAATAATGGCTATCATTACTATTTTGTGCTCATTGATTAATATTCTTGATACTCTTGGGTGCTTCCACTATGAGCTGAATAAGAAAAAATCAGTATTTATCAGATTTAAAATAATGGTTGAACAAATATTCTTCACATCTATTAAATTCCTTCAGAAAGATGGAGAAGATTAATACCTTAAAAAAACTCTAAAAATTTACTTTTAAATTGGGGTATTCTCCTTCAAAGCAGTTGCCCATACACAACCCGACAAAATGACTTAGCCAAGCACAAACATCGCATTTAATAAAAACATTTCACACATGACTTCTAGATGCAGATATACCTCATTCCTTTAATTTATATGCCTTGCTTACAACGAATTATCTCATAAATCTCCTACCTTCATCAGCGATAAAAAAAATCACTAAATAAACTATTATACTACTACTCACCAAATTATGCCCAACCCAATTTTTTTGGTTTCAAGCGCTTTCCATGGCTCAAATCACTCTCACACAGTAAGTTATCACCTCAAGCAATTTTCTGCATCTTCAATGGATGCATCCTTCAACAAAAGGTACACAAATCCTATGATTCACTCTTCTGCAAAACCTTTTTATATCGTCATGTTATCTTTTGAGAAGACAACCTTCCCTACAAAGTGTCCACCATATTATTTTGTCAACCAAACATCACTTTCTCACCACCCCTCTTATTATGGTGCCACTTTCCAGAGTTCTCCTACATCTAAAGTCTATAATAATTCCCCTTTGCAAACACCCCCCACAACATCATGATACCCAAGCAAAATTCATCATTAGCACATATGCTCTGTGAATTCTTTAATCCACACATCAAACAACACCTACAAATTTAAAACACATAAACTATCCATCTGAATCCACTCACCATAACATGTTCACTAGATCCCAAATGAGTCATATCAAATAAAAAAGAAATTATTAAAAGCTTAATTCACATCTCTACCCAGTCAGACATGATTTGTGACTCTATAGTCATTTGTGCTACACACTTGAGGAAACTTATGTTAAATGAGGTTATGGCTCTTTAACAACAAAGCACATGGGATCCAGTGCCAAATTTGTCTCATAAAAACTCTTGAGAAGCAAATGGACTTTTAAGATAAGAGTATAATATAGATGGTACTATCGTTCGCCTGAAAGCCTGACTCGTAGATTAAGAATTTAAACAAGGATACAATACTGATTTTATAAGACATTTTGAGTCATGTAGCTAAGCGACCTACCATTACGAAACCAATTACAATTGCATTAAATCATATTTGGAAAATCCATCAACTTGGTGTCTTAAATGTATTTATACATGTTACACTTGATGAGAAGGTATACATGGCACAACCATAAAGGTTCCACAATACATAATATTCAAATCATGTATGCCTTCCTAAAAAGGCAATCTATGGCTTTAAACAAGCCCCTAGATGTTTGTTAGATGCTCAAATTGAACAACTAAAACAATTGGGATTCACTAATCATAGGAAATGAAAACAAGGAAATTGCATATCTCATAAGTACCCTACAACACGTTCTACATGTGACATATAGGCAACCTTTCTTACTTTCTAGGAATTCATTCTACTCCTACATGCAAAGGAATTCATGCCAAACCAAGCATCTCACAGGTCCTCTACAAAAAGCTTTAATGTCTACTTGGAGACCTCTCTCCATCCCCATTAGACTAAAACAAGGCCAAAAGAACTATGTAGAACCTTCTACATACCTTTAACTAGTTTGATCACTTCAATACCAAACAATTACTCGACCAGTTATCTTCTTTACACTGAACATATTAAGTCAACATATGCATCAATCAACCACTTAAACTTCACCATTAACAACTTAGGTGGTTATTCCAATATCTTCATTGCACTATGCTTTAAC